AATCTGATAGAGGACATCTATGACAATCCAAGAGCCAACATCATAGTCAATGGCCAAAAACTGAAAGCTTTCATTCTAAAATCAGGAACAATACAAAGATGTTCACTATAACCACTCCTGTTTAATATAGTTCTGGACATATTTGCCAGAGCAATTAGACAAGAAAAAGAAATAAAAGGAATAAGGATAAGAAAAGAAGAAGTTACATTATTTGTGGGTGACATGATACTCTGCATAGAAGACTCCAAAATTCCACTAAAGTATTGGTAGAGTTATAACCAAATTCAGTAGTGTAGCTGGACAAAGTCAGCACTCAAAAAATCAATAGCCTTCTTGTACACCAACAATAAGCCCAACAAGAGAGATATGAGGAAAACAACTCCTTTCACAGTAGCATCAAAAAATTAAAGTATTTAGGACATTTTATTTAGGATATATATCCTATATTTAGGATATAACAAAAGAAGTAAAAGGCCTAAATATTGAGAATTACTCTACTCTGAAAAAGGACGTGGAAGAGGATATCAGAAAATGGAAACCTATCCCCTGTTCATGGATAGGAAGAACCAACATTGTGAAAATGGCCATACTCACCAAACTGTCAGACAGATTTAATGCAATCCCAATCAAAATTCCAACAGCACAGCTCACAGAATTATAAAAAAATTTCAAAAATTCATTTGGAACCAGAAGAGACCTTGAATAGCAAAAACTGTCCTGGGCAACAAAGGCAAGGCAGTGATTATCACAATCCCTGACTTGAAATTATATTACAAAGCTACTGTGGCAATATTAGCACAGCACTGACAGAAAATCAGACCTGAGGTCCAATGGAACAGATTGGAAGATGCAGAAATAACACCAAACACACTCAGCCACCTCATCTTTGAAAAAGGGACGAAGTACATTCACTGGAAGACAGATAGCCTCTTTAATAAACAGTGCTGGAAAAACTGGCTTTCCACACGCCAAAGACCAAAACAAGACCCCTGTCTATCATGATGCACTAAACTAAAATCAAAATGGATCAAATATCTGAAAATTAAAAGAGAAGCATTAAGTCTTCTGGAAAAGAGAATAGGCAGAGATCTTGAAGGCATACATGCAGGCAAAGGTTTCATGAACAAAACACAGATTACACGGGAAATACTACAAAGAACACATAACTGGGCTCTCATCCTATTAAAAAGCCTTTACACAGCAAAAGAAATTACCAATAGAGTCAAAAGTCAACCCACAGAATGGGAAGAAAATTTTAGCCTCAGACAAAGACTAATATCTAGAACATGTAAAGAGATAAAAATGATCCCCTAAATTAAAGACCAATCCAAAAGTGGGCATCTGAGATGAAGACCCACTTATCAGAAGAAAAAATACAAATGGCAAATAAATAGATGAAAAAGTGCTCAACATCACTTGTCAATTGAGAGACGCAAATGAAGACAACACTGAGATTCTATCTCACCCCAGAAAGAATGCCTATCACCAAGAAATCAACCACTAACAAATGCTTGGGGCTGTAGGGGAAAAGGAACCTTTCTCCATTGCTGGTGGGAGGGTAGAAGGGTACAACCACTGTAGAAGGCAATATGAAGATTCCTCAAAAAACTAGGATTACAGGTCCCATTTGATCCAGCTATTCCTCTGCTGGGTATCATCCCAGAAGAATTTTTTTTTTTTTATTTTAAAGATAAAAGGAGGGAAACATTAACAGACATACAACCTTTTACAACATATCACAAGCACAATACAGACAATACAGAGTTACAAACAAAATGGTAGGGAATTAACAATGGTGGTTGTATTACATATTGATATCTTCAAAGTGGCTTCTCATGAAAACAGATATAGACATGC